GGGTGCATTTAACTCCACTTACACACTAAGGGGAAAAAAGGAGTTCAGACTAAAGCAGCACCATGGCAAAGAGCATGGGACTTGCATGCATTGTTTTGTACAATGTGTAATATATTTCCTCCCTGTCACTAAAAATGAAAGGAATCACTCAAAATATGACCTTTGTAGAAGCAGCAGGGGTAACAATATATTGTTTTTAAAACAGACACAAAAACATACTAGATATTCTCAAGGAAGCATGTTCAAATTCATAGTGGTAAAATTCTTTTTGTACCTATCAGTTCTTTGTTTCTTGCCTCTATTTCTTCTAGCAGAGTCTCAGGAGTGGATGTTAGCTTTTCATCATCAGCGCTGTAGGTCTCTAAGAATTTCTTATACTCTAGATCTGATGAGGAACAAAAAGTGTGCATGTCATAAAGAAACACATACTTTCACATCCATCATTCAGCAAAAAAATTAAACCAGAAGTTAGTAGTCCTAGCAGTAATGTCAGATGCTTATCTACTCAAGAGATCTTTCCTTCAAATGACTATTTCTAGATACTAGTAATAATGCAAGTCTGAAGCTTGCACTGCAACAAGTCCTAAAACCAAATACATATTATCTTTGAAGTACATCAGATCAACTAGGAGGCAAGCGATATAATCAAAAACAACCACATCCCACATTTCACTTGTACTCAGGCTAATTACTGTAACTAAAAACATGAAAGTAATCTTAAGAAGCTGTTGTTTCTGTACTGTGTGTCTGCCTCATAAGATCAGAAATCTTATGACCAAGATCAGGTATGCATGATATGGCAGTACAGCCTGAAGTTGTCAGGTGATACATTATATGTAAAATTTTAAACCACCTTTTCTACTATTACAGCAACTGCCATGTGCATCCACAAAGTCCACCAATGCACTGATTCTCCACTAGAATGCCAAATAAAATCACATACAATAAGCAACAATTGTTACTAACCATCTTCAATGGTCCCAGCTTTGGCATCCTTTTTCTTATTCTTCTTTTTGGCAGCTTTCTGAAATGGTGCAAATTCCACTATGGCAGGATACTCCAGACCTATTCATACATTGAAAAAAATTCTTAACATAATGGTTGGTTTTTAAGAAGAGGCTTCCCCCCCGTTGAAAAAATGTGTTCAAGGGCCAGTTTCACACAACACATTGCTTACCCACATGAGCAGGCCAGGCTCTATGGCCTGAATATCAGTTGTGCTCATACAGGCAAGAAATGTGGCCTGTGAATTGCCCCTGAAACTACAACACAACAGATTATGTATTAATTTTTTTTTCAAATGGGAAAATTATTATAATGAATTGACACACATGGATTAACTGTTGAAGCTCAGTGAACAAGTGTTTCTTGAACAACAGAGACTACCGCAGCACTACTTTATAAAAATAAATTTGGTTATATGAAGAATGGTAAAGAAAAAAGAATACAAGCAGAATGATCCTGTAGTGCTGGCTCAACTGCTGCTGTTCAAGTGCAGGATGCAAAAGCAGCATCCTATGATGGGCTGCTGGAGCACAACTACCTGTCCTGCATGCATGCCACTGCAATTAAGTTCTGTATCAGAAATTTTCAATGCATCTTTATGTTTACTGAAAAGTACTGGGGCCCCAAAGACAGCCCTTGTGGATCTTGAGGAAGAGGGCTGGCATTAGTTATGCCCCTTCACCACACACATACACACAAACTCACAACCAAACGCACACAATTTTTACAGCTTGCAAAGCAAGTCACTCCCAAGCAGTAGTGCTAGGACCTTTAGGATGGGTTCAGCTCATCACTGCTTCAGCACTGCAAAAGGAGAGAACCACCTGCCCTGAGTGCCCTGACATACTTACTTGGAAGCAAGCCTGACTGATGCTAATGGGACTTATGTTTAGGAAAACACACTAAGGGCTGTTGCGGCAGCTAGGCAGAAATACTAAACTAACTTGCAAATAAATTCTCTGAAATCTAGGTTAAAAGACATGGGTGCTTCCAGAATTACAGTCTCATTACCTCAATTAATATATGTCTAAATATAAATAAAGAAATAGGATAGAACTAAGTTTTAGGCTTACTTGCCTTTGTGATCAACAAAAACATAACCATCAAAGCGATCCCTGAATAGAACTATGTCTTCTTGGTTTTTAAAGTTGATGTATGCTCTGGAAAACATGTGTGGATACAAACTGCAGAAGGACAGAAAATGGCAATGTATAAGGAAACGTTGCTGAGTGATGACTGCATATATACACAACGCAGACGGGTGTAAAACTGAAAGACATTCATGACATGCCATTGTTACATGCAACACAACCAAGGGACCCAAGTTCCTTTTACCTCGAATCATTAGCAAAGAATTCAAAGTAGTCATGCTCAGGCAAAGGCTGGAGATGTTCTTCAAGCTGTTCCTTGGTCAGACTGGGAGGCAGGCGTCGAATCACTACCTTAAAGGGAGGAAAAAAATCATTTTTACAAACATCTTGTCTTTCCGGATACACTCTGCAAACTCCTTTTTTTTTGACATTTATTACATCCCAAAACAGTTAGAGATCTTTGAAGGGAACCCCCACATATAAGCTTAAATCCAGTCATGCACAAGTGTACACATAAATGAACTTAGAGCAGTTTTACCTAAGTAAGATCATGTGCAATATCTAGTGCCCAGAAACAGGTTGCACCAAAATCTTGCACAAGTGGGAATACAATAAGTCTTGCTTAGCGCTAGCGGGCACCACCATCTTTTCCTTGTGTTTCCACTTGCAGAAGAGCTTTAGTGCAAGCTACAGTTTAGCGAAGGATCCCATGGTCAGTTGGTTACAGATTCATTAAAAAATTATTCATAGGAGCCTAATGCACTTTTGTAAATACATATTTAATGCTCCTATTGCATAAACACCACTCACATCCACTGGTCCTTTCTATTAAATTAGAAGGCGTTTCCCTCCAATAATACTAAATACCTAACATCTTTTACCAGTCAGTCCACAACATCAAAGATCACCTTTGAAAAAAGTAGCAAGACATATTTTTTCTTGCTAGTAATAAGTACTAAAATTACCATGCTCATGACTAAATATTAAAGAGCTTATGAATTTTGAGGTATGTATTAATTAAAATATTTGTATCCCACCTCTCACTCCATTGTCAGAAGCTCAAACCAACCTACAAAAGCATGTGCCAACAAACAGGAACAGCACTACTAAATCAAAAGAACAGCTAAGACACATATCCAGTATCACCACTATCTCCATTACAATGCCTCTTTCCCAGAAACCTGGGAAAAATATCATTCCCCATCAAATACACTCTTGAACAATATTGCTTTACATGCTTCCAAAAATGTGGGAAGGGCACCCACCTGACCACTTCTGGGAAGCTGTTCCAGAAAGATGGTGTGACAACCAAAAATCAATTAGTGGTAACTTCTAACGTTTTAGAAATCTATAGTGGCATCTAGCAAAAGCACACCATAGTTGGGAGATTAAGAACCTAATGTGGGTAGAAGTTCAAAACTTTCTCAGACCGCATTCTTCCCACTAAAACACACTTCAAAATGACAGACAACAAGAAAGCTATACACAAAAGGGTCAAAGTCTCTTTGATTGCATTTTTGTTATTACAGAGCCCAGTGTGTGCCACTTCAGTACCTTGCAGCAGTGACCACCAATGGCAGAGACAGCTCATTTGTGACCTCACCCCTCCAGAAGCCCTTAGCGTGATCAGAAGAGGGGCATAACTTGAGGTCAGTTTACAAAGTCAACAAACTCAATCAAAATTTCTCATCAAAACACACAGCTTTAAGCTTACCAATTATGCCAATAGGGAGTTTGTATGTTTTGAAAGAAACACACACACAATTCTACTAGGAAACAACCATGTCAAGGAAAAGGGTTCATCATACTCTTCTATTTGGTGTGCTGGTTGCTTACATACAATGAGTCAAAAATGGAAACATACTTTAATGCATCCAGAAACAGTAAAGCCAAGGGACAGCTCCAGCACCTGACTGTAAGCTAGCTCCAGCACCTGACTGTAAGCTAGCTCAAGGAGAGTAGCGCTGGTGTTGGGAAAATTTTTAGTATATTGGCCCCAGTTTCCCTGCACGTGGAAAACTAGCTTGTTAGGCTCACCCTAGCAGCCTCCTCGCTATCTTTCTATATGCAATTAGTCAAACATGGAAACCCACCATCCCAGGGCAGTCTAAAACGGCACAGTTCAGGAAAAGCTCCACATTATAGCAACTGAACGTACAGAAGGCTCAACGTGAATTCGCCCAACAACAAAAGTCCTCACAGAAAGAAAACCTGTACGTCAAGAAGATGAGTCCGTCGTGACACGCTAGTTTTCTACAGGCATGGAAACAGTCTGACTGCAACGCAGCCGGAACAAGCGGAAGCCACAGAAAAGCTCCACCGCCCCAACGGGGGCAGCCCCTCCGAGCGCGCGCAGGCAGGCAGGCAGGCGAGCTGGACCGCACCTTGCTGAGCGTCTCTTTCTTTTCCTTAGGCCGCTCCAGCCTATCAGGCTCACCGCCTCCTTTGGCGTCCGCTCCGGCCATGGCTACTCCTAGTCCGGTCGGGGTGAGAGGCCCGCCTCGCTTCTCCTTCGGCCTGGCATTCTCCTTATCCTCCTTCATCGCAGATGCAGCCGGCCTTCCTCCTCCGTCCGCCTCAGCTCTGACTGGTGCGCGCATTCGCCATCCCTCCTCTCGCGGGAGTACCGAAAAAAGGGCCGCCCCCAAAGCGACACCTCCTCCACGGGCATAGGGACGCACCACTATTCCAGGCCTCATGGTTGTCATAGAGATTCCTATTCCCGACATACCCCGGGCGGGACGGCCACTCCCAGCATGCTCCGCAACCTTCACAGACCTCCTCGTTCCCGGCATGCCAGCCATACACACATCTAACCAGCTTGTTTATTCGGCTGTCCTTGTCACCTTAGCAACAGCCGCTGACTACTACCGTGGTGCGCGATGCATTCTGGGAAAGGTCGGAGAGTCGGTTACATGCTTTCACGCATGCGTGGTGATTACTCTGTGTGTCTTTAGGACAGAGAGAGAGACTGAGTGAAGGTGGTGGTATTGCCGGAGAGCGCAGTCGGGATGTGGTACGAGATCCTCCCTTGCTTGGGGGTCATGTATGTGTGTTTGAATATCCCTGGACTCAGCACCGTCTGGATCCATAGATACACGAACGGGGGAAAGGTGAGAGTATGTCTAGCTATTCGGCCGTGAAGAGGTCTGGCGACGAGAGGGTTTCCGTTTTACTCTCTAGCTGGGTCTTGCTCTTTCTCTGGAGTACACTTTATCCCATCCTTTCTCCAGTAAGCTCAGGGCAGCGCTCAGTGTTCTTCTTTCCCCCACTTTAATGTCCCCTTAACAACCCTCTGAGGGCGTAGAGTTACCAACCTCCAGGTGGGACCTGGAGTTCTCCTGGAATTACAGTCGTTCTCCAGACTACAGAGATCAGTTCCCCTGGAGGAAACGCTTGCTCCGAAGGGCAAATTCTGTGGCATAATACTCTGCTGAGGTCCCTCCCCTCCCCAAACCCAGGCTACCACCCCCAAACCCCCAGGAATTTCCCAACCCACAGCTGGCAACCCTAGGTTTGAGAGGGAGAGTGACTGACCCTAGATCACCCAATGAGATTCGTGATGAAGTGGGGATTTGACCTGGATCTCCCATAGGGAGGCTAGCCTCCAGGTTCGACCTCGGAGTCCCCCGGTATTATAGCTCATCTCCAGACTACAGAGATTGGTTAAGAACATAAGAGATGCCAATGTTGGATCAGGCCAAAGGCCCATCCAGTCCAACACTCTGTATCACAGAGTGGCCAGAAATACCAGTGCCATCAGGAGGTCCACCAGTGGGGCCAGGACATTAGAAGCCATCCCACTGTTGAACCCCCCCCCCCAAGCACCAAGAAGACAGAGCATCACTTGCCCCAGAGCCCCTATCTATACC